ACTCTTTCAGCCCATTTAAAACCAAACTCCTGTTCTACTACTGAATAGCATACGCACCTTTACGTGCATTTCCATAGGAAATAACGTAATAGGCTGACCAGAAGACAACTGTCTGAGCAACCCACTGCCCTCGTGACAGAAAAGCGGGGATAGAGCTAAATATGTAATATACTTGTGCTGTACTTTATGCCATTATGCGTAGCTTCAGAGGCTCTTTGCCCTTCATGATACATCAATTCCTTTGGGAGGTTATTTATGTTCCCTATTTAGTAACTTCTGGTGGGGGGGATGGAGCACTGGCCCTGGCATCAAGTGATTTAGTTGTCGCTTGACTAAGTCATTCGTCTGCTCCATAGGTCTGATCCGGCCAGCGTCCTTCTCTGACCCAGTTCCTCCGTCGCTAAAATCACAACGTAGGCACTTGTTTGTTCCATGAGACGCTTTGTGACAGGAAGGACTGTAGGAGAGGAAAATGTCGGTTTCTAACAATATACGGAATTCTCAGGCATGGCTGTCCTGCCAGTTAAAATGCTCAGCACTTACAAAGGTCTGTGAAAAGTTAGAGCATTTTGTAACCACTAATTAATATGCCTGCCATATTTTGGTGGAGTGGCTGAACACTGCCCTCCCTGTGAGCAAACGCAGCAGTTAATAGCTTTGCTTTCAGATGCACTCACTGATCGTCCCAATTTGCTTTTCAATTCAGTAGGAACCTGGTCCCCAGTCAGTCAGAAGGTGCTTTAAACAGAAACCCCAAAGACAGTGCTGGCCTGAGTGCCTTGCCGGAGGCAAAACCTGGTGAATTAGAAATAAAGATTTGAATGGATTTAAGAGCTCCTGATCTGCTCGCTCTGACTGCAAGTGCACAGCAAATAGGCAGCTCGGGAGTGAAGGTCAGGAGGGGTAAGAGGCTTTGCAGATGGGTAAATGAGCCTTAGCCAAGATGTAGCAATCCTGAAGTTTGTTGGTTCTTTTTTTCCTAGAAGAAGTGTGATTCCTTAGAAGATTTCTGTGTGGTGTGCTTGGTCTGAGAGCAGCTATGCATAAGCTCTTAAGAACTATTAAGAGAGGAGAAATATTTTGGGGGTATTTGCTGAGCTGGGAATGTTTGAGCACCCTGAAGTTAATATAAACTGTTTCCTTTTTCTGATCGCTTTGAGAACAAGGGGAACATGAATTAACTCTGTCTGCCAAATCCTGGTTCAGTGCACTAACCATTAGCACATCTTCCTTCTCGCTGTGTGCTCATCTTTCTGCTTGGTGCAGCACTTGCACCCGAAAATGGAATAAGTCTGCTCCCTGTCCTGCTCCTCCAGAGTCTGTGGCTTGAATGTAACCCTGTACCTTGTCCTGGTGACAACAGTTTGTTCCTCTCATTAGTTTTCTCTGTAGAGTCCCCTGGCACATCTCACTGACACAGAAAGGAATGCTCTTGGGAACCTTTGAAAGGGATGAGAAATTAAGATTCACGATAATAAGATGTTGCGTTGCAAAGTGCAGACTGGAGGTCACTGCTGCGGCGGATGACATGTGCATGCATTTTAATTTGCAAGTGTCTCTGCTTGTCCCTGTCCCTGAAGGCTAGCTTTCCTCCTTCTCATCTTCGAAGAAAAAATCAGAACTGCTCAGGAAAAAAAGAAGTCAGCCAAGAATCTGTTCTCAGTGAGCATAAATGAGATGACTGATGATTGTACAGCCTTGCAAATTTCTGAGTTATGTTTCTCTAAGATGGTGATCAATCAGGCACTCACCATACGCATGGCCTTGTCCCAGCTGCAGCGTATCCCCCTCCTAGCGCAAAGCAGCCACAAAGCCACCTTTCTACAAGCCTCTCCCGAGGCAGGACCTGAGGTGGAGGAAGGGGCGTTAGTGTTCCCCACCCCTTCATTAAGCACTTTACCATATTGCTGGGAGCTAAACCAGGGTTGTCCAGTCCCTGAATGAGGAGGACACTGGGAAGTGCTGAGCAATTGGCCCAATTCGGCCCAGCTCCAGGTATGGCCCTGCACGCTCCCAGGCTCCCACCAAAGCTCTGCCATGGTGCTTGGCTTATTGGGAGCCATTATGGGCAAGTGCAGCGCCTGAAATCTGCTGTACCGCCTCTCAGAGATCCAAGCTGGGCATCCCTCCCCACACAACAGAAACACATCTTCTGAGGAAACCATGTTTAGAAGAACAAAGTTTGTTTGCTGTTTTTTTAAATGAGATTATGCATAAAACATACAAAAGATACATACATTACTGATGAAATTATAATGAAAACTGAAATCACACCAGGATCAATGTAGTAGTATTTTCCTTGAAGTTTGTTATATATTTCTTGGATCCAGTAATAGACTTAACCATTCCCATTCAGTAATAACGCGTAAACTATCCTAACATCTCACTCAGCTATTTACATTCTTGTAGGCATGTCAAGAACGTTAGAGGCTGGTATGAGAAGAAACCCTTCTCTGAATAGGAAGTTTCTGAGTAATACCGAGACAGTTTTAGGAGGATTTTCTGTACCAGTGGCTCATTATTTTTAAAGTTAGTTTTGTGACTGGCAGAGAAACTGCCCTGGAGATTTTCTCTGCAAACTTTCTGAGTTGTTCGAAGGGCTAATTGAGATGGGAGTTTCCAGTTCTGTTTCTGGAAAGCTTTACCTCTGGCATAACCCAGGGCATAAGCCAGCTCATTTTGTGCTGCTTCGGATCCAGCCGGGAAAGCAACAGCAGAGGTGGACGCTCCCTGCTCAGGGAATGGCTCAGGGAGACGCTGTTCTGGAGCCAAGGCACGGGGAGCGCTTGACCCTTGCGGTGCGAGAGAGTCAGAGCAGGGCAGGATGCCTTGGTGGAATCCTTTTTCATGGTGCAATGAGAGCTGCTCATCAATGTCCACTTCCTTTCTGGCGTTCAGGGGCAGTGGCTCCGTGGAAGGTGAGGAAGGTGGCCTTCCTTCTGCCTGTCATATCTAGCTGGAGCTAGCCAGATCCAGCTGCTTGTGTCACGGCATCTGTGCATTCAGGGCTGGATGCTGCGAAGCCTCCTATGAACACCCTCGCATCCCCCAGGACTCAGCACAGACTGATCTTGCCTGAGTCTGCATCCTAGAGGAGAGCAGATGCTGAGCAAGATTCATACCAAGTGTGGAGTACAATAAAAATATGAAGTATCCACATCAGTTCATTCAGATAATGTCGGGATTTTTTGCAAGAATCTTCATAATGGGAGGGAACATTTTTTTGTGCATGGGATTTCAGTATTTAACCTAGGAGGAGTTTGTTTTTCACTTAGTTTTGGGACCAGACTAATTCCTGTTTTAGACTTGGAAGCCCTCCTTCTGCAGGGGTAGAAAACCCCACATATCTTGTAAAGGAGTTTTTTGAGGCCAGTGGGATTTCTATTTGAGTGAGGAATGAAGGACTGGGTATTCAATGGGATGATTTTGGGAAAATTGCAATAAAAATTATATCCTAAAGCAAATGAACACATCTACAATCCCCTCAATATGACTGAATGGTGATAATGCATGTCAAAGTCAAGTTTATGAGCCTGTGATCAGAGATCTCAATCGTATATAGAATGAACTGAGCTGTTCATGAAGCTTGAGAACTGAACTGCTAATTGAATGTGTCTTTGTTTTGTTTATGTTTGATATTAATGCCTTTTAAGAGCAGACAATTTATAAAGCAATAAATTATGCTTTACAGTTGTAATTTATTCCAACCTCAAATAAAACATGTTGCATTTACTTTGAGTTCACAGTGTTCCTTATGAATCATTCACACAGCAGTCAGGACCTGCCTGCGTGTGCTCAGGGAGCCCCTTCCCATCCCTCGTTTCTGTGATGGGGTAGGAAAGCTTGGGGTGAGTGTTGTGTGTTTGCGAGGTAAAACAAATGTTTCATTGCTAGATCAGGCTGGCGTCAAAGGCTTCTGTGAGGTTTTCTCCTGCTCATCCACTTCAGTATGGACCTGATTCATGACAGGAAGGTGACAAAAGCTGCCACCACTTGCTGGGGAGCTCTGCAGGGAGGGTGGGCACCAATCTATGTGCCAGAGGATGGTGTCAGTAGCGCAAGATCAGGTGGCCTCAGCACCATCACTCCCAAAGGTTGTTGTTATGGGCTTTGTAAGATAAAGTTATGCATAAAGCATCAATGTCACAAATATTACAAGCAAGTTCCCATGTTGGCCTAAAAAAGGAGAGGGTGGTTTTCTTAGGGACTATGATAAAAAATAGTCTCATTAGCTCTTCAGGCTACTGGGAGTATGAGGACATCGGTTGACTCTTTATCACCCAGAGCTGGCTTGAGTCTAGCACCTTCCCAGCTGCATGGCAGGGGACAGTGAGGTACCATGTGGTGGTACAGGACCTGGATTATACAGTTGAGTAGCCTATGGTGGTGGTGGTCACTTAAGAACACCCTGATGGGTGACTAAAGGCCCGTCCCCTGTGCATCCCTTCCAGCTACTGCGGCCCCTCAGAGGGAGAC